AGGTTGGACACAGGGGCTTGGAGCAACCTGCTCTAGTGGAAGGTGTCCCTGCCCGGGGCAGGGGTTGGAGCTGGACAAGCTTTAAGGTCCCTTCAACCCAAACCATCCTGAGAGTCTGTGAGTGAACTGGAAGGGAAAAGGTGACAACCATCACCAACTGAAAAGCTGTTTTAATAAGGAGCGATGCAGTGCAAACCACCAAGGTCTGTTCAGAAAGGTTCGAGGTCACCAAATCTCTCTGCAGAGAAGTGCCTCTGCAAGCTGCTGATGAATTTGACAGGTTGCAGAACCAAACACCAACTTCTCCCTCAAAGTCCTCAGAGTGCAGCTTCGCCAGGTCCAGACTCCCAGCAAAGCCACTTCCCTGTACCCAAATCCCAGCACGCCAGCACAGACAGTCTCCAAAGCAGAAGGAAGCCCAAACTCCACGACAAAATTCCCACCTTGTGGATTATTTCAGATTACAGTTCGCCCCACAAGCTCCAAAGAAACCAGCCAAGGAGCATTCCCAGGAGGGCAGCGGGTGCAGGAGACCGGTGATCCACCACTGCCTCCTCCATGCAGTTCCTCATGGATCATGCTCCATCCTTCCCACTCCCCTCTGTTCCTCTCTCTAACTTTTCTTCCCCTCCCACCACGGGCACAGCTGCCTCAAACCTCCCAGAAATAAGAAATACCTTATTTTTAGAAAGCATCAAACCGCTGCTGCTTCATTTTCCTCTGTTCAAAATCCCCAGTTTTGTTTTGGCAGCCTCAGGGGTATCAGCAAGGAGGGAAAGAACATTCAAAGAACAAAAGCAAACCTGTTTGTGGAGCTGCCTGGGTTTTACAGCCTTCAAAGGAGGCAATTACCCTCTCCAGCTGCTGGCAGCCACGCAAGGGGACAGTGGGGACTATGCAGATGAGCATTCAAGCAGGTTGGAAATGTCACTGAGGGTGTTTACCTGTGCACTGGAGGATGAGGTCTGGGAAGAAGAGGACTGTGAGTGTGGTTGTGGTCTTCTGAATTTCCTGTTGCCTTGGAAACACACCATAAAAAGCAGCACTAACTCTGCTAATCACAGCATTTGCATCCTTGAGTCCAGGCAGAGCGTGGAGAACTGAAACACTCGACAGCTCCTCAGAGCCTGGATCCACAGCTTGTGCCAAGGTGCAGGATGGAGACAGGGAAAACAACAGCAGCAATCCCTGAGAACAGGGTTACGGGGTAAGGAGATTCCCAGTTATCCCTAAAATACCAGATATGGGGGAACCTGGCCTTGAACACTGCCAGGGATGGGGCAGCCACAGCTTCTCTGGGCACCCTGTGCCAGCGCCTCAGCACCCTCACAGGGAAGAGCTTGCCCAGAGAGGCCAGGTTGGATGGGGCTTGGAGCAACCTGGTCTAGTGGAGGGTGTCCCTGTGATTCAGTCTGTGATACTATGATTCTGTGAGAGCAAAATTCAAAGGACAAAAGTGCTCGTTTGTGTGAATCATAAAAATAGCTTTGACAGAGGCAAAAAACCACCACGATTTCCCTGCTGCAAAACAAGCCTCATGGAATAAGAAACTCAGCAGCACAATTAATGAGAGTGCAAATCACAGATACATGGAAACAAATCATGGGAAATTAAAATCAACAGATGGTGTGTAGAGAACTGCTTGTTTGGAGAGGGAGAAGCAGCCGATGGTGAAAGCTGCAGCACAGTGGATTTGCTCCCCAGTGCAGAGAGGAGAAGGAGGTGACACAGTAGCCCCTGGCCATGGGCTTGTCCAGGTCCCCACTTCCCACCAGAGGACACAAGAGCTGGGGCAGGATGAGCACAAACATGAACTGACCAATGGGTTGCTAACCCCAGAGCATCAGACGGGAGCTCACCACCAAGTATCTGGTGTCACACGTGGTCCAGAAAGCAGGGACCCCAGCACAGCCCACGGCCACCACTGATGCTCAGGAAGCCTCTAACTACGTGTGGTAGATACAGTGTGATGCACTGAGCCCATTGCTGTGATTTGGTTCAAGTATTTCTTTCAGAAAAGCCTGCCAAGACCACACAACCACCTCACTGCTTCAGCAACACGAGTTCAGCCTCTTGCAAAGAAGATGTCAAACCTCCAATTGACTCTGTTTCACAGGTAAGGAAGCAGGTACCCAAGGCTTTACATGGAAGACAAGCAGAAAGAGCTTGCTGCCAGTTTTCCCGTGCTCAAAGCTCACAGCCAACTCAGCCCTCTGGTTGAAGCTCCTCTCCCAGGTATTGTGCACATCATCCTCAAATTATAAATAGCTTGAGTGGCTTGTTCAGGTAGGAAAAGACAGAGAAACAGAAAGGTTAATGTTTCTATGTCAACCACTTACAGATACGCTGCGCCGAAGGCTCTGCGAATGGATGACTAAGACATCAGGTCACTGACAAAGGGAATGGGAAAGCAGATCTCACCTGCTGAAGGCTCAGGCATCAGCCTGAAAAATAAACAGCCCAGTGTGATTTCTGGTTCTCAGCATCATTGTGAAGAGAGGCAGAGGAACACAGTCCCAGGCAACCCATATCAACTGAAAGATCTGCCACGGGCCACCCCTCTGCGCAGGGCAAGGCAAAAGCCCTACAGCTTGGGATGGGAAAGAGGGTGGGAAGAAGCCATGTGTGTCCCACAGGAAATCTTTCCAAGTCAGACAGGGGTTTTCCCAGGATATCAGTTGTCAGCCCCTCTTGCAAGCAGTGATGGAGCAGGAAGAGCCAGAGGCTCCATACAGCCCTGTTAGCTGGAGGGCCCACGTGGTGACAGCACCAGGCTGGGGTGCTCACTCAGCATCCCTCTGCAGAGCTGCAGAAGGAAGAAAGAAGAATATGACCAATCTCAGCCACTGCCAAGGAAATGAGTCTATTTAGCCTAAACAAGGGATTTTGCCTCTCTTGGGCTACCTTGGCTTTATGATTCGAGACACTTTATCCTGATAAGGCGTTACCCAGGGATCAGACTAAGCCTATGCTAACTTAAGGATCAGCTACAAACCCCTCGGTCAGCAGAGCTCGTTGCAAAGACGTGTTCCCTCTGCTTGTTTTCTGAGGGAAAGAAAGAAAAAGCTTCAAAACCTCAAACTGAAAAGCAATCACCGCACTGGAGGGTCACTGCAGAGACTCCTGTTGCTAATATCTGAGAGCTGCAGGATGGGTGATGCTGACTGCTGATTGTGATGGCGAGGGCAGGAAGCATGATATCCATATGTGCCTTTACATCCTACATCTGATATGCAGACCTGATCTTAAAGCAGTGAAAGAACCAGGTGAAATTAAGTAGACTGTGATTTTAAATCCCATCGAGGACAGTTTAAGCAGCCAGGCAGGGATCCCAGCCCTGCATCTCGACCAGCAGCCAGGAAAACCCTCCTGCACACCCAGGGTGTGGGTTCATGGGTCTCCTTGAGATCCTGCCCTTGCCAGCTCTGTTTCTGGGCATGAAATGACCTTCCCAGCCACTGCAGGAAGCCACTCGGGATCCTCAGGAGGCATGTTCACAACAGCAACTGAAAATAACAGCCCTTGAAAGTCCCCAGAAATCCAAAGCAGTAAATTGGAAGCATTGCTTACAGGGCCCTGGTAAATTAGAGGCAAGCAAATTAACCCCAGTTATTATGTTCCTCTTCTATATCACAGAGAGCAAGAATATAGGCAGTGGATAGAGAACATTATCGAATCCCAGACTGGTTTGGGATGAAGGGACCTTAAAGCTCCTCCAGCTCCAACCCCCTGCCACGGGCAGGGACACCTTCCACCAGAGCAGGTTGCTCCAAGCCCCTGTGTCCAGCCTGGCCTTGAACACTTAAAACCCTACAGAAATGTTAAAAAAGAAGAATCCACGAAACAAAATTCCCTTTTCTCTCCAGATCAGTTTGTCAACACGGAGGCAGGATTTCAGGAATAAAGCAATGATGTTGCCGCATCCCAGAGCTTGTGCTTTGTCCGGGATCACCGCTGTAACAGGGACTGTTTCCCAGGCAGTAACACCCTCTGAGTCTCATCTCACATACAAATGTGGCACCAGGATGCCACAGGCAGCACTGACACTGCTCCTGTGGAACAGCATCAGGGAGATGAGGGGGTTTTCCCCCTTCTCTTGATAACAAGCAGGTTAGAACAGCAGTGACAGGGGAACACGGACCTGCTCATTACCCATTAGTTTATCCCATGCCTCCTGCTCTCCACAAGGATGCAGCAGCACAGCCCATCCATGGGGGTCTTTGCCTAAAGAATACCCCCACAGGAAACTGCTCTGGGGACGCAGCACAGCCCTCCTGGGCTGGCAGAGCAGGAGGAGGAGAATCCACAGGGACAATAAACCAAGAATAACTCCCAGATCCCACAGTCTGAGCAGAGGCAAAATCTTGGGAGGGAGGGCAAAGAGCAGAGGAAAAGCAGGTTTGTAAATAGCTTCTACCTAGAGCAGAAATCCCACAGCTCTGCCTGCCAGCACATGGGATTTCTGGGGCAGATAAGGGGAGCACAGCTCAGAAGATGTTTGTGCCTGCAGGGCTTTGAAAGAAATAGAAAGAATCACGGATTTAACAGCAGTAAATGCCTTTGTGAGCAAAGGAAAGAGTCTTGTCTCACACACAACTGCTGAGAATTCCCTTTGCATGAGCTAACACATCCCTGACAACACAGGACCACGGGTGC